TCCTCCCATATCCTCACAGCGGTCGAGTAAGAGTTCTCAGTATTCCTGCTTGCAGTCTCATTAATTGATCCATATTCCTCATTCCTCATATGAAACCTGGAAACGATAGTTCTTTCTAGAGATTAAGACCCTTGGTGCTAGTCCTCCAATACTTTTCACGAGCGTTAAAGTCAATTAGGAGTTTGAGTAATAGGTATGTGTTTGCTAAACCCAGATGCATGTTTACATTGCTATAAATCTTGAGTTTCAGCAAGAATTAATATAAAATATATTTGCATTTTCTAATTATTTCTGAAAAGAAATGTTTAGTGTTAATTTTTTATTGTTAATTTGATTGTTAATATTCTATTAGCAAACAATTTCGCAAAGAATCTGAAGCAAGTGGGACTTACGTCACTTCAAGCGTCCCACTTCATGTTCTCAGAGTTACGCTAGGCCTATGCCCAACCGACGGACTGTCTTCGGTCTGGCTTTGGCCTACCTCTTTTCGCTCAAAAGATAATCAATCCTCGGCCTACAGGCCAATTAGGTCTATAAGGATTAATCCCTTTTCTTCGAGACACCTCGTTCAGGACGTGTAACGTCAGGCAAATCGCAGGCCTTCAGTCTCTCATGGCCCATTTAACAGAGAACGTGTAACGTTAGACCAAATGCATGTCTTTTCGAGTTTCATCAGCCATTTCATTGCGGTCGGGAAACATTAGGCCTCTCCAGATTTCCTTGAATCGTTCTGAAAAGAAAGTACCTCTAGAAAGCATGACATGGAAGCTGGCCAACATCATGCCAATTTAGGGATGTCCCGATAAGATTTCTCCATATCACGCCAAATTCATTGGCCACTGCAAACCACTGCTTCAATCTCAGCTCATCCCATGAATTCAGCACAATGATGTTTCCTATATTAAAAAAAGAAGATGCAGACAACGATACTAAGGTCGAAGAAGTAATGAATCTGAGATAACTAAGGTACGATATTCGGCAACACTGGAGGACCGGACTGGAGCCATCTCCCTAAGCCTAAATTTACGGCATCTAGCTTCATTTCTCATGGCGAAATGAGACACTGGAAGCAACAAAAAGGACACTTTTTGTCGCCTTCAAATCAATATTTTTCATTTAGTAGTTCACTTTCTCCGAAAACTTCCTTGGAGTGGACCCACGTGGGGAGAAAAAACAATACCGGAATGAAATTGACATCTCCGAAAAGCTAGATTCAGTGATCTCTACAACCCAGGGGGGATGGAGCTTCAAATTTGCTGGAGCGATTCTGTGTTGAGAGAGGAAAAATTATGCCAAATTTTGTTCCTGTTGTTTGATTCTCTTTGAGAGGAATACCAGACGGTTGCATTTCGTCACCGGTAGGGTTTGAAGAAAGGTAATGGGCGCTACCGCGACCACAGCATTATGCAAATCACTTACTTTTGATCCAATAAGTTTATGTGTAGCTTCATTTATTTTTCAAGACTTAACCTAGAATGCACTGAACCTACGAATAAGCCTCGTACATACTTTGTTCGGTTCAGTTCTCATGAACCCGTATGACTTCTGTAAAAGAAAACGTATAATAAAAGTATGCTGTGCTTCTTAGTTAAACACAGATAAAAGTTCTACAATAACGGGAAACGTTACACAGAAAGAATTACGTATGTCTCTTATGGTTTTACTGATGTGACGTAATTATGAAACATATCTCTACGTGTGTGTAAAATTCTTTCGCGGAACGCTGACTATTTTTCTTCGAGGAGTATAATAAAATACAAAACCAAATGGAGCAACGAATATGAGGGTGGTACAAATAAAAAAAGGAAGTTATGATTTTAATCATGTAAATTAGTTTTTCTTTGACAATGATACTGATATGTTGTATTGATTCAGTTGCTACCCCTCTGAATGCTCACATTCATGTTCAAACAGGTGCTAGGGGTCACCCAGTGGATTCAAAATTATGGCCTATCTACATACTTGTACCAAAAAAGAGATCCAAGTTGTGGTCAGAAACTTAAAACCATTTTTTCATGCCTCATGTTGATGCGTCGCTTGCCTCGAGTGAACTGCAAGGTTCGTCTGTCCGGGTCGAGCGGCATCTTCGATGTGCCGCTGTAAATGTTTGAACTCCTTCATGTCCATTGGCCTGTGACATACACTTATCACCATGCTAAGACTTCTTCCTGCGAATAATCTCGATTTGCTAAACTCTCTTAGCGTTCAATTTCCTGACCAAAACTCGCATATCTTTTGTTGCATTTGCAGTGGATCGAATTGGATTTAAATCACCAGTGCAGCCTATCAAGCACGTGTTTCTTTTCGTGTTGTTTCTTGTTGCGAAGTTGTTGTATTGACTTCAATGATTCATTTAGTCAAGGAGCTTAATTTTCCTGCTAGAGTGCTGTTCTTACTTTGGAGTAAGTTAGTACTTAACCAAATCTATTGCAAGTTTCAACGACATGGACTAAGGTAAGGTAATATTCGTGATGGTGGAAAATGTTCTTTACTTTTCTCAGATCATCTCTCCATGCTGATCCCCTCTTGCAAGAAGGCAGACAAGAACACTTCACAACGAAAGAGCAAGAAGAATGGAGGTTTACGGCTAATACCAACAAAATACATATTCAGGACACCGTCCTCATTTCTATGGATGCCAGGACACTGTATCCTTTATATAATCGACTTGAACAACTGACAATCATTAACACCCACTTGAAGGAGTTCCCATTTCACGTACTTCCCGTGATGATGAAGCTGAAAGAACTGCGACTGCCATCAAATGCCTTGAAGTTGGTGCCAGCACTCAGGAGCACGAGCCTTAAAACGTTAATTCTTTCGAACAATGAAATAGGCACACTGCAACCCGGCTGGTCCCTGCCCAACTTGGAATTCCTGGACATTCGTAAGTATGATCGCGTGCGAAAATCCGATTTTCAACTTTCCGCCTCTGCGTGTAATATCGCACTTCGTACATTTCCTCCTCTTATTTCAAGTTCCAATGACTTATATTCAGGTTGTACATCCTTCAAATGGACTTCTCCCGCATTGGATAGATCAGTTATGAAACCAATAATATTCCATTGTGAGGTATGAATACCATTCGTTCATGAATGCCGGCACACAAATTTGAGAAATCTCATACATACCGGTGCATATCGGCAATATTTTATGACCAATTTATTGCTATGCTGGTCCATGCATTCACTGAATTTTGAAGGAAACGTTCTTAAGCAGACTCAGTGAACTAAGCGCCTTTGCTCTCCAGCCATGATGAAACACTTGTTGTGATAGGAAGACTAGATCCTAGGTTTCTAATTTTTCACTACAGGAGGCAACCCCATATTGACGTTCCCTTCCCAAGTGGTCGATGGCATGATGAACCTAATGGTACTTGCTGCGACGAATTGCAATCTGGGGCCGGTTTTGTCTAGCGGATCCTTGGTGTTTCACAGCCGGTCCTTGCGAATGGTTTTCCTTCAAGACAATAACATCGTGAAAGTGGAACCAGGAGCCATTTCAGGTTGGGACCGTTGTTTTTGTTCAACTGACAATACTTGCTTGGCTTGAATCTGTCACTTATAGAGTTATGACATTATTTTTAAAACACGTATTTGTTTTGCATTTGCATAGATTTCTGTTTGCCCCTCAAGATCATAGTCTTGAAGGCATTCTGAGGGCACCCTAAAGTAGGGAAAGATTATGGGTAGGATACTCAGACAAGTGAAGGTGAGGTCCAACCAAGATATTGCCATTTTTAAATATTGACTTGCTCTCATAGTACCAGTTACTCTCTCCCCGAGACGCAATGTGGATCGCTAACGTTATTCTGTTGATTCGACCAAGAGCCTGTGAGGACGGATTAAGAGACGTGGTCTTGATAAAACTAATCGAGATTGGCGCACACCTACAACTTATTCTCAGTTCTCTCCAATCCCCCCCCCTCCTTCCTTTCTTTGCGGAATCAATATATCGACGTTAGCATTTTGCTTTTTTCCCTTCCTGTAGCTTTTTTGCTTGAGGGAAATTTGTTTGCCTGGAGCGTATGGACTACCGGATTTCACGATGTACACTTGATATTACTTGAAACATGGGCTTCGAAAGTTTCTGCTTTCTGGCACATGTGACCTCTCGAGAGTATTGAATAGTTTCCCAAGAATGTCAGTTAGCAATTCGTGTATGGTTATATGAATGGACTGAATTAGTAGAAAGCTACTTTGGTAGCATTAGTGAGGGTTTTTTTATACCTTCATTAAATATATTGCTCAAAAATTACTACATTTTTTCTGTTTAATGGCACCATTGTATTTTGTAGGAGTCAACATAGGAAAATGATTATTGCATCGCTAACAGTCCGTCTCTGGCTCAGTTCAATAATACAAGTATGAGTTTTGTTGTCACCATCCCCACATTCAGAAACTGAAAACCTAATCTCCCATTATCATCTTTTTGGCTAACTTTGAACACAATTTTTAGTGGGCCTCCTTTCCTGAAAGGAAAGAGACCACTTATGGTTCTGTCCTGTCCGTCTGTGTGTCCGTGTCCGTGTGTCACACTTTCATTGCGTAACGATAACTGAGAATGTATTGGCTTTACCAACGTGAACATGGGCAAGCTGTCAGATATTAACAAGATATGGCTGAGTTCGTATCGTGAAGAATTCGCACCAAAATTGGCATTTTATTGCAAATTTTGGATTTTAAATCAGAGCACGAAGGGAAAACCATGAGTAACCTTGAGCCCTTCAAGTTCATTATCACAATGCGCATGCGCGTACTGCCCAGGCCTTGGGCGCGATGCCGTGTCAGCAACCAGATCTGTCAGTTCCCTACGATCCATCGCGGCGGATGGTTCCAAGCACAAACAACCCTCTATTTGACTATCTGCAATTCACTACCATAAGTAGATTTTCACACGTAACTGAAAAAATTATGTTTTTCATGACCGGGGACTGGAAAGAGATGCCCTTTTTTCAATTAAGTGACGAATGTGGGTCTTCTAAATGGGAGGAGACCCACTACTGGACTGAGCTTGCCCATCTTGTTTAGGATGTAGTGTTCCAGACAAAATGCAGATCATGTCTCATATGAAGGAGCACTTCCAGATACGTCTGATGACATATGTTTCATTCTGTCATTGTCAAATATCTAAGAGTTAGCATGATTCTAACGTTTGTGGCCTTGACTCTGTTTAATGTCACTCAAACTGGTTCATGAAAACTAGCTCAGCTGCTTAACCCATTAACTGGGTAGTTTTTCGCAACGAAATGGGAAGTGTTTTCGTCGGCAGCACAGGCGACGAGAGAGCTCCGCTTTTTCGATAATTCTGCAACAACAGATAGAAATTATCGAAACTTATTTACTGGGAGTGTGGATGGGTGTCTGAGGTACCGTTTGCTTATCAGCTAGGCTCATCCTGCCTGGATATATATAAGGATATTCGACTAAAACCAATTGCCGGATTTGCTGATCTGGTATGACTCCATACCAAAGCGGTCCCTCGATATCGACAGCAAGCCCATCAATGAGAAGAGTCTCAAAGACATCAATAGGTCTTTTTCTTTTGCCAAAATCTATCAAGAAACCGTTCTGAATCGAACATTTAAAGAGCGGGCATTCCTCGGCCATGTGGACCCAGTCCAGGTAAGTAAATCACAATCACCACCTCTGTGAATTTCCATGTCTTCAATCCGTCGTCTCCTCTTACGCCATTTTGTTTCTTTATATACTTTTCCTATTGAAGCTTCATTCTCGATACTCAAAAGCAAATTTATTTCTTACTAGCAAACTTGCTTACCCTTCAGACAAACTCGCTAAGGTACCCCGAGAATCTGAGTTTTAAAACACCACCTAGCCTATGACTATCCCCGGACCAAATGAAGAAGGCATGTAAAGTTTGGTTGGACAGGGATCAGAGGCATGACCGTGCATAAAGAACAGACAGACACATACAAAAATTCTGAAATATAATAATGAAGAAAGATACTATCTCAATGATGCTCGCCTTCGAGTATACCTCCCACGTGATGATCTTGCAGTTAACAGTTGACTCATCATGTGGAAAACACATCCTGATATTTGACATCTAGTCAAGGGATTAGTCTAGTTAAGGGATTAATTTCTATGGATTTCTATATCAGGTATATTTCATGGGCTAGGCCTTTGTCTAGTGTTTGTGATTTCCGTAGAGAGATGGAGGGGTAGCTAGGGGTTTAAGAAAGGAAAAGACCATAGTTAAGGGATTAATTTCTATGGATTTCTATATCAGGTATATTTCATGGGCTAGGCCTTTGTCTAGTGTTTGTGATTTCCGTAGAGAGATGGAGGGGTAGCTAGGGGTTTAAGAAAGGAAAAGACCGTTGAAAAGTGGTTTCTACGTTACTTTATGACAGATCCTTTAGTTGTTCTGGAGATGTTCCCTTCTAGTTCTCGCGTCGTTTTTTATTGGAGTGTATGGAATAAGATGGACATCAGGTAAGTTCATAAAGGAGCAAGGGACAAGGACCAAGAACATCACTCTAATTGCGGTTTATTTTGCACCTAGAAGTAGATCGCGCAAGCATGCATAAATTCATGATACCCCAATTGATAAATACTCCAACATCCTAAAAAAAATTTTAACATTAGACAAAAATATTAACGTCGGAGATGAGACATTCATATTCTGCTTGTGGGGTTGAGGAAAGCAAAATGAAACTCGTATCATTTAACTAAACCAGAAGTGGACTCCTAGCACTGCAATTTTCGTTTTGTAACTTTGACTCCAACAAAATATAATAGTGTCATTAAATAGTAAAATATGAGCTATTTTGAAGTAAAAAGTTTAATTATGGTTACATAAAACCCTTACTTATGCTCTAGCAATAGCATTCCACTTATTCAGACCTTTCATACAGGCGTACATGGATTAAAGAAGGAATAAAGAAGCGATGGAAGGAATATACAGAAGAACTTTACAAAAGAGACCCTAAAATCAATGATATCTTTGATGGAATAGTCTCAGAGTTAGAACCAGATATTTTGGAAAGTGAAGTACGATGGGCCCTAGATAGCATTGCCAAAAGTAAAGCAGCAGGAGTTGATGGAATGCCAGCAGAGCTACTCAAGATCCTGCAGGATGAAGCAGTTAAAGTGTTGTCTGCAGTGTGTCAGCAGATATGGAAAACACAGCAATGGCCGACAGATTGGAAAAGATCAGTTTATATTCCAATACCAAAGAAGGGTAATGCTAAAGAATGCTCAAATTACCGAACGATTGCACTCGTTTCACATGCCAGCAAGATAATGCTGAAGATCATACAGGCAAGACTCCAGCAATTCATGGAACGGGAATTGCCATACCAAAGAAGGGTAATGCTCAAGAATGCTCAAATTACCGAACGATTGCACTCGTTTCGTATGCCAGCAAGATAATGCTGAAGATCATACAGGCAAGACTCCAGCAATTCATGGAACGGGAATTGCCAGATGTTCAAGCGGGATTCAGAAGAGGTAGCGGAACAAGAGATCAAATTGCTGACATTCGCTGGGTAATGGAAAAAGCAAGGGAATTTCAAAAAGGTATTTATTTGTGCTTTATTGACTATACCAAGGCTTTTGATTGTGTTGATCACAACAAACTTTGGATGACTCTAAACGACATGGGCGTCCCAAGCCATCTTATCTGCCTGCTAAAGAACCTGTACGGTGACCAAGAGGCAACGGTCAGAACTGATTTTGGAGAAACCGAATGGTTCAAAATAGGAAAAGGAGTACGCCAGGGCTGCATACTATCGCCTTATTTATTCAACTTGTATGCAGAGCAAGTCATGCGCAATGCTGGACTGGACGAAACAGACGCCGGCTTCAAAATCGGCGGGAGGAACATCAACAACCTTAGATATGCCGATGACACCACCTTGATGGCTGATAATGAGGAAGATTTGAAGGAGCTTCTGATGAAGGTTAAAAAAGAAAGTGCAAAAGCTGGCTTGTTGCTCAACGTTAAAAAGACCAAGATAATGTCAACTGGCTGTATCACTCAAGTGAAGATAGATGAGGAAGAAGTTGAAGTTGTTAAAGATTTCGTATTCTTGGGGTCAATCGTCCACATGGATGGTGATTGCAGCCATGAAATAAGGAGACGTCTGCTCCTTGGAAGAAAAGCCATGACGAATCTGGATAAAGTGACCAGATGCAGAGACATCGCACTGTCGACAAAAGTACGAATTGTCAGAGCCATGGTCTTTCCAGTTACGACATATGGCAGTGCAAGCTGGATAATCAGAAAAGCTGAAAGAAAAAAAATTGATGCTTTTGAATTGTGGTGCTGGAGAAGATTGCTGAACGTACCATGGACTGCAAGGAGGACAAACAAATCAATATTGGACGAAGTAAAGCCGAATTGCTCTCTGGAGGCATCAATAACAAAATCGAGGCTGAAATATTTTGGCCATATAATGAGAAGACAAGACTCATTAGAAAAGACATTGATGCTGGGTAAAACGGAAGGAAAAAGAAGGAGAGGACGACAGAGAACACGATGGATGGACACTATCATGAAAGACACACAACTGGGGATGCAAGAACTGAAGGAGTTGGCCATGGATAGAAAATGCTGGCGAGACCTTGTCCATCGGGTCACCAAGAGTCGAACCCGACTAAATGGATAAAACACACACACAACACACACATGGATTAACTGGCGTATTTTGAGAATCATGAAATTCACTCGAGAGGCCACATGTGCCTGAAAACCAAATATTTTGAAACCCACATCTCAAGTGCCAATGGGAAGAAAAATATGTTTGATATTGGATTTTGAAGTTTCATCTAAGCCTTGTTAGTTCTGAATTACAAAAGAGAAAATTCTGAGACAGTCGAGCGTCAAATGGGTTCATAATCTGGCCTAACGATTACCTGGTAATTGCTCAAAACGCGAACTAATGCCTCTACATCGGAGACTGAACGCCGTTTCCCTGGCCTCTCAGTCACAATAGCGACCGCACAAAACATTGGCCAAGAGGTCCTCATCAGGGCCAGCTGAATCGTCAAGTGGGCCCAGCAATTCGGCTATGCCAACTAAATGTGGAGGGCCTATCCCGCTCCAAAGGAGAAGTCATTGCGAGACTCATGCAGGAAAACAACATCGATTTCCTGCTCCTGCAAGTAGACGCACGTGGCACAAGAACACGTGCAGCGGCTCCAGATTCCTGGACTCGACCTTGTTTCCAGCCGATGCCTCCCGAAACATGGACTGGCTACTTACACCAGGCCAACCATGCGGGACATCGTCGAAGACATCCCTAAACCCGAAGACGGTTACGCCATCGATGTTCGCATCGGGAAACGTGGTTTATAATGTGTACAAACCACCCAACACCCAGTGGTTTTCACCACTGCTTCCACCACCCGTCCATCAGTCTTCGCGGGAGATTTTAATAGCCACCACAATTTGTAGAGTTACTCGACCAACGACAACGCAGGAGAACAGCTTGCTGACTGGGCATCTGCAAATAACCAACAACCAATGCGAGACATGGCAACTGTGCGCTAGTACAAGAAGATTATTGTCAACCCGTCCCTCCCGATCCATCGCGACATCGATGAGACCATCCCATCCCACCTAAAATCAAGACGTCCTTTCTGGACTGCCGCGAGAATCCTGCACGACCTAGGGTCGTGCACGGAAAAACGCTGGTGAGAAGCCTGGTCTCGCGTGGTCGTGAAAAATAAGAACCTCATCGACGATCCATCAGCAGAGGCACCAGGTGTCACACTCCCACGTAGCGAATGGGTGACCTTAAATCGCATCCGGACTCTTCATGGTCATTCCGGACACCTGATGCACAAGTGGCGTATTAAACAATCGCCAACGTGCAAATGCGGCACTCCAATCCGAACTATGGAGCACATCATCAACGAGTGCCCATTGAACTCATTTCCAGGCAGCATCAAGGATAGGCACGCAACATCACTAAAAACTCTTGACTGGATTTCAAAGAGTAGCATCAATTTCTAATAGTCGCTATACCCATACGAAAGAAGAAGAATCTGGCCAGTCGGTATGGAATGGCCCACATTTGTTATAATACGGTTCTCGATCTACAGGTCTCAGAGGTGATACGAAGATATATCTTCTGCAGAACAACATCACAACATTGATGGAAGACTCTTTCCGACCTATGGTGGAGGTCGCCTCAATGGGCCATGGCGAAATCTTCGTAAATGGTGAGTTAAACGACTGGGACTGTGTGGCTCCCTAATTTACTTATTTTGCTTTTCAAATCCTGAATCTTTCAGATAACCCTCTGAAATGTGAGGTGAGCATGGCTTGGCTAGTGCTTAGTCCCGATGTCGAGCAGGTCCTGCAGAAAGTGATATTCTTTGAATGCTTGGATGGGACTTCTTTGCTGGATCTCCTTCTCATCCGATTCCTTCATCTTCTCCTTCCGTTCCAATGGGTCTACACTATGGTTTGAGGCTCCGACACCTTCATGATTGGGGTCTATGGTGTTGTGGAGTTCCCTGCTTTTGGCTACTTCTATGTCGTTCAGCTGATATTCTATATTTCCAACTGGCGACAACCAATAAACTGAGGGGCGTGCTTTTCTGTGCGACAAAAATGTGTGAAATTTAAAGGGAATGTGGTGACAATAAAAGAAGCTCTGACGAAGTGTTCATCCCCCTGGTTCCCAAGTAGCACACCCACGCTGAATCCACGTTGATTCAACGTGGATTCGACGTCATTTCGTCAACGCAGCTAACTTTGAAACCACGTTGCCTGCCAACATTGATTCTACATTGAAAGTTCATTTTTATCAATAATTGATTCAACGTTGACATCAACGGTAAATCAACATTGATTTAATGTTCAAAACCAACATTGGAACGTTGCTTCAAACATTTGCTTATCACCGTTGACTCCATATTGGAAATTCATTTTCTTCAACATTGAAGAAATATTGAATCCACGATGATTCAACGTTGATATGACAGGTCTCAACAATCTGTTTAATTCGTGCACATGCGCCGTTTCATGGCTGAAGCATCTGGACACGATCTCCATCCTCCGAATTCGCTTTTTTCAGATCCCCCATCCAAGGACAATGCGAACCTAATTCCGAGATGAGAAAGAGGCATCCTGTTCCCCCGGAAGCAGGACACCGACGCGATTACCACGATTTAATACGAGGCTACCCTCACTCCACGCACCCTTCGGCAGTGATCATGATTTGGACTCATCCTCGAAAACAGGGCGACATGGTCTCATGGAGTAATATGACCTCGCATACTTTCTTGTTTCCATCACCCTGCTCAGAATTATCCTGGGTCTTGTTTGGTTGGGTTGCCACATTGGTCGAATATATCCAGAAAGTCAAATTCCTTCCCAGGCGTCGTTCGTGGAGAAAATATCAAATACTGTTCCAAAAGTACTAGAGACGCGTACTGAATGCATGTATATGGTAACTAATCATGTTGGACAATTAGTTGCCATCATATTTCGCAGTCAGGAAATCTTGTTTGTTCGCATGTCTCGCTAGATGTCTCGCCAGACATCTGTTGATGTAACGTTGACCGGGCAACGTTCTCTCAATATTGTTCTTTTCAACATCGAATCGATATTGAATCAATGTTAAAGGATTGATACCATATTGAAGCGTTCATTTAATTAATATGTGATCAATGCGGCTGCGGTGAAGCTGTTTCACGTGAGTCTGTCCTTTCTTCGGGTAACCTATATTACTTCGATACGTGTTAAAGGCATTCACTATACTCAGATAACCGTGTTAGTAATAAAAAATAAATAAAAAACACATTCATATGGGAAACACTACAGGAAGACCATGTACCATCAAGACCGTCCCAGAAATCACTTTTTGTATTATTAGTAAGGAAAACAGGAATGATTTTAGCAGCCATTACAGTTCAGGCTTAATTGAAAGATATCTAGCAAGTGTTTTCATGTCATTTCTCCTATACCAAGCTCTTGATGCCATACATAAACACGTCGGTGCCTATTTCGAGAAATAGGTCTGACACAGTAAGGTTCTGACACAGTAATCGTTGCTCCTAGTTATGCGAGCCGAAAATGTCATTCTGGTCTGCCATTAGTGCGACGAAATTCGAGTGCCTTTCAGCCACTGTCTCATTTGCTCAAAATCGAACGTTCCTCTTGAAATATTTCCTGGTTGATCGGTTGAAGTAATTAAGTAGTTGCAAACACTGATGGAGAAAACATTAACAATAAATCATTTACTGCATATACTTCGACCGCGAATGGTCCAGCATTGAATGAATGTTGGCCCAAAGTGGGTGTATAAACGGTGGCGGTCACCGCGTTGAATCGATGTTGAAGGTGGCCCTTGTGATCCAACAGTCACAGGGCCACTAAACTCCATCGACCAGGTGCCCCACCCCTGGAAACTAAGGTTTGAAGTTCAGGGTTACTAGACTGCCCATTGCAACGTTGCTTGCAAAACCATTTTTTACCTATTTTTTTTGGGGGGGGGGGGGAAATAATTTATTTAATTTAAACAAGATGTCGGACATGCGACAAAATCCGCGTTTGAATGCGAGCGTGGTTCGTAGAATGCCTCTCTCCTGTTGTAATGTTAGGGATGACATGGAAAGGTGTAGGTGTCGCAAAATGCGCTCGGACTCCTTTCCCTTTTTAATTTTTTTTTTGCACGCTTTGAATAATTTCTAAATTATTTTTAAGGGAAAAAAAAATTCTTTGTAAAATGCTTTTATCGTTTTGAAACATATTTTCGATGATAACTTGATCAAAAGAATATTACTACCTACTGTAGTAATCCAGAAATAGGATTACCCCGGGATACTGTAATGCAGGTGGCCGGGAGGGGAGAGTTGGGTGACATGAGAGGACAAAGAAAAGCTGGGGACGGCCGGGAATCGAACCCGGGCTTCCTGATTGTCGGTCAAGTATGCTATCACTGCACCACCGAATACAAGAGTCAATCGCTCCTCACAATGCCATCTCAGACAAGACAGCCCCCCAGAAAAGTACCCCGGGAGTGAAAATTTGGATGGAAACATAGCCCTCGACCTTCCCCTGGATGAAAGAGGAGGTCATGCAAAATTTTTTTCACTGGCTCCTGCGGGGTCCGAATGCATAAAGGAACAGACAGGCAGACAAACTTTCTTCTTTATATATATTGATATATAGAGATATGTCACACCGATCCAGCCTGACAAAAGCACTTTCGTTCATTAGTAAGTGAAATGCCTAGACATGAACATGTCCAATTCAATCGATTAATTGGCTTTAAAAGTATATACATATGTGATTTTTATTGAATCTCCTTATACAAATTTTGCGTTTGTATTGAGACAATTCCACTATGTGAGATGCTCGGGAAAATTTCTTTTTCTGTTTGCTTGTTTCCTGCGATAGACTTTAGGCCAGGCGTAATTTCAACCACTCTCATATCTGCCTAAAATCAATAATTTTTCGGTGGTCGTAATGTATTCTGGGCGATTGGCTAAACTACTCAACGAACCATGATGAAGTACACACAAAAAATCCAAACTGTAGATTAAAAAAAATGGATTTTTTTCTTTTACCGTAAAAGAATCCATTGAATCGAGGTTGATTTAGTGTCGACACTTCCATCGTGAATAGTGCATCATTGATTCAATGTTGAGTCAATTTGGTTGCATAAACGGCGATGGTCACCGCGTTGAATCAATGTTGATTCAACATAAAAGTATAAACCTTCAACAGTGTAACATTCGATCCACACCAAATCAACGTTGAATCAATGTTATGTGCTTCCTGGGTTGATTTAAACTAGGGCTGTCACGATAGATCGATGCATCGATACCACTATCAATAGTTGGAGATATCGATCGTTTTTTCGACCATCGCAGTGAATCGGCAAATATATTTTAAAGGGATAATGTCCCATTGGATTGAGGTTAATACATTATGAACAGTTACACGCGAAACTGCGTTTCTGCGCAGATCTGCTAGGGTCCCTTCGTCCCCCCTCCTTGAGGCAAATACGTCATCAGAGACCCAGAGTTCTCAAGTTTAGAGGCCTAAGCGGGATGCGGAACGGCCATATCAGCACAACAAGATCCGCGGCTAGAAGCAGCAAAACTCAGTCGACGATCGCGTTCCGGGTAGGGTGAGGGTTGGGTGCGGACCACGATTTAATCGGGCCGATCGAGTTTCAATTTGGAAAAGTCAACCCGTGTAGCCCCCAGACACGCAGGAAGACAGGAGAACCCGTAGAAACCACTTTCACAACGTACTTTTTGGATTTCTGTCCCAATAAGTATCGCCTCCAGGCCATGCGCTTTCGATTGACTTTCGATTAATTATTGAAATCCGTTCATCCGGCTAGGAAGAGTTTTCCGGAATGACTGATTTCACAACGTACTTTTTGGATTTCTGTCCCAATAAGTATCGCCTCCAGGCCATGCGCTTTCGATTGACTTTCGATTAATTATTGAAATCCGTTCATCCGTCTACGAAGAGTTTTCCGGAATGACTGCCATGATGACAGATTAGCCTCTTATGTACTCGTATATGGATACCCTAATGTACGTGGGTGGGTCAATACTAACCTCCACTTTCTGCTCAAGAAAATAAACATGGTAGAAAGGAGTCTGAACACCAAATATGACAGGTAACCCCAAACATCAATACTATTTACGGCAAGATCGGCAACTCTTGCGCATGCGCAACTCAGTGTAAATAACATGGTGCCTGATGTTATATTCTCCGGTTAAATAGCGCTGCATAATACAATTTTACGCGAATAAGCATGTGAAGGATGTTGATATTTTCCGAAGATGACAAGCACACTTCATTTAAGACTGTCGTCTTAAATGCAAGAAAGTGCAAGAAATTAACAAACCGACCAAGACTCCTTAACAATTCCTTGAGCGTGGCCATCAATATGTGACAGTTTCGAATCCTATGAACATCCGGCAAATCGAACAAAATATTTTGGAAAACCGTTGCGTTACCGTGCAAGATGTTGCAATTGAACTAAACATGAACATTGGGAGTGGCGAAAGCCGCATCCACAGGCACTTCAAGTTCAAAGAGATGACTGCGAGATGGGTACCAAGAGAACTGACACTCGACCAGAGAGCTAAACGAGCAATCGCCCCGTCGAACTCGTTTCAACCACTATGAAGACTCTGACGGATGATGGATTCGGGATGGACGTGGATTCATNTCGAACTCGTTTCAACCACTATGAAGACTCTGACGGATGATGGATTCGGGATGGACGTGGATTCATCACTTAACGCCGGTATTAAAACGCTCAAGCCTGCAATGGTGACATTCCGTACTGCCTCGACCGAAGAAATTCATGGCAACGACGAAGTGGTGATTTGGCTGCGCACTTGACCACAGGCATTCAGATGCCTCTGGGTTTCAAGCGCTGCCAAAGCGATGTGACAAGTACGTTCGTGTAGGAGGGGAATACCTGGGGAAGGA